TAAGATTCTTTCCCCTCAAACATGACTAGTACAAAGACAAGAAACATTGCTGTTTAATTGGTATTTTCCTCCTTCCCTGCTGAATTCCATGTTTCCCCAGAGTAGAGCTCACCCCAGGAAGGTCCCTCTGGGCATGACTCCAGGAGCCAATTAGTTAACATTAGTCAGGAGGTGAAACAGGGCTGATCCAAGTGCTCTCATTGAGGAGACTACACCCTGGCGCAACTAAAGATTTCTAACAAAGTATGAATAATGAGGGACCTTAGTTTAAAAAAAGTATTACATATAACTAATGCCAATGGAAAGAGACTTTTGAGTTGTGTCTTTTAAATGTCTGAACATATATGCCCAGATCCTAGTCAGCAAGACAATGAGTGCAGGTGTGGTCCAGCAGCATCGTCCCTGAGCCGTGGATAGAAAACTCCAAATGCAAGGGAGAGAGGTGTTTGGTTTGCCCACACACTAGCAGGTGACCTCTTTTGCTTCTTTGGCTTCCGTATCTTTTTAATTTTCTATAGGGAAGGATCTGGCCTGGAGGCACTGGTCTCCTTAGGCTTTCTAGTGACATCGTCCAAGCCTCTGTTCCCCTGGAATTATTCCATACTCTCGGCAGGGGCTGCATCATCCTGTCTTAGAATAACGGGTTCTTTGCTCTCTCGCCTTTGCAGATGCTCACCTCAGCTCCTTATTAACAGACAAACTAAAATCTATGCTCATTACTTCTGTGCAGTTTAAAGTGACTGGAATTTAGTTCAGCAGGATTCTTCTACCACCCAAGACTCTCTGTCATTAGTGAGCTGAGTCTTGATGTCTATATGCAACAATTCAGAATTTAATCTTTGAATCATTATGAGGTGGTAGGCTTTTTCAAGGGGTAATAAATATTTCCTTAAATTGAATGACGACTGAGATAGTTTATACACCGTCTGCATTATAGCATTATTCTTTAAAGGAGAATTTTATGGGACTCTAAGACTATCAGTAACTCCTTCAAGTAGTAATCTTGTACATGAGTATTTTCTTTTGCAGAAATGAATATGCAATTCTGGATTCTCCCAAATAATACTGTAGTCAGACTTGATGTGAAACTAATCAAAACAGAGAAAAATAAATAAAATATTTAATAAAAAATTTCTGGTATGCATAAGCAAATCAGAGTTAGTAATAAAAGAGGTAACTTTATTTTAATGGTAAACTTTCATGCTAACTTAATAGTATAATGGAAATGTAATATAAACTTACTTTCATATAAAATCTTTGTTTCCATTTAATTAACACATTAATACATAAAGAAGACGTGTCTTTTTCAATGTTCGCCCCTTTGTTGTCCTGCTTATTTTCTGTTACTCTCTGTTTTGTGTGAAGGCTCTGACCTAAATACAAAAGTCGGTCTTTACAGGACAGTGCTTATGGACAATCAGTTCTGTTGGTAAGAAACTTCTAAAATATCAGTGGTGCGATCAAGGGAGTATGTGTAGAGGAAGAGGGCTGAGGCAAACAGCCTCTGCAGAATATACCAATCTCACGTCAGAAAACCCCTGGCCACAAAACAGAGTCCACAGAGCATACTCCCTGAGGTTGTCAGGTACACTCTGAGAACCACTGCTGATCACAAGCAAGGCTGTGAAAGTGAAATGTCTGAGAGAACTCTGAATGACAGCAACGTGCTGTCACTGCTTTTTGCGTTGTGTTATGTTTATCCCCCTAACGAGGTCCTCCGCGTGGGGCATGTATGATAACTGAAACACTTCCTTCTTGACACAATCTCGCAGAGTTATTTTAGTGGTATTAGCCAAACTATATAAAACGATATGGCAAAACCGAAATGCAACAGACAAGAAAACCGTACTGTGGCTTAAGGGAAATTAAACCTATTTCAATGACTAAACATTAGCTTTTCTTTTAAAAATAACCTTCAAATGAAAAACAGTTGTGAAATGGGTCCTGAACAATAGCTAATACAATTAGGCTCACGGTCTATACTAATCTGCTAGTAAGATGTTTCAGTAATATCGTATTTGCGATGAAATGGTGAATTATGGATGAAGAACTTTATTGCCTGTATTAAATTTGGGAGATGAGAGGGAAATGATTACGTGAGACCTTTCACTGGGGACTCAGTGGTGGGATGGGCTGAAATAAGGCATCTGGTTTTAAAAGTTTAAAAAACCTATTAATCCTTTATTAATATTTTCCTGGAAGAGAAAGAATATATTGGCTTTGGGAAGTAACCTTAGACTGCATGGAATACGAAATTCATTTTAGGTTTCAAATACTGGCAATATATGTTAATTTAACAGTAAAAGATTGCTGTTCTTGAAAATTGATGAACTACCTAAATATCTGTCATAATGGTTTGTTGGTGATTCAAGATCGAAAAATGCAGGTGAGTCAGGCTGCCTGGGCTTATCTCCCCCCCACCCCCACTCTGTACTCATAAATTTAAGGAAGTATGACAGGAACTGTATAGGAATGATAAATGCAACTCTTGGAAAACCCATTAGCAACACAGCTTTGTGACCTGGCTTAATTACATTCCGTCTGGTGGCAATTTTGGTTACTGTCTTCTTACTAAACAAGTTATAAGGTTTTGTGCATTTCTGAAGCCTTCTTTCCCCACATCAACTTGCAAATTCAGAACAGTATTTCTATGTGTGCTTTCTGGGTATGGATTAGCCTCTTAAAGTACATAATTCCAATAATTATCAGTGACAGAAGGGATGAATAAATTATGCTCCAAGCACAACAAAATTAACAGTAAAAAATGGTTTGCGTTTTTCTTAATGCATGTGCCTATATTAAATTTAATATTCCATACAACTTATCCTGAAAGATTCCCAATGAGTTATTAATCCCGAACTATACCACTGCCTGCTTTGGGACAAAGAATAAAATAAAATTTAAATGCTGCAGATGTCACGATGTTTTGAAAAGCTTCTTAATTTAAGCACAGAGTTATGATGTGAATTGCAAATTCTAACAGCCTGGATGAGTGAAATATCAATGCCATGTTCATTTTTTTACACCAGAATGCAGAGATTAAGCTTCAGGTCTTGTTCACAAAATTAAAGTCAAAACCGTCATTCCCTCTCGTTGCTGAGAGCTTAGCGTTAAGGCTAATAAGTGATGAGGGGCTGTTTTCTTTAAACAAAGAATATTACGAAGAGGTTCATTTGGAAATACTGACAAAGGGTAAAAATGTCCCATCTGACTCTTTTCCTTTGAAGGCTGGCAAGTGCCGGAAGACCACAGAACTTAATTAATGCATCTGTGCTTTGATTTAGCACGGTATAGGCCATCAAAAGAAGTTTCCATTTATTTACCATATTTGACAGAAGGGAAGACAATGCTGATTTTTTAAAAAGTTGCCTGTATATTGCAATATATTTTTGAGGGCAAGTTTACTTGGTTTTCATTTTAGTCTGGATGTAGTAATTATTAAATGTGTACAAAACTTGCAAGGAAGTTGAAATGACAGACATAAACTATTATTTTGTTCTCTTCAGTATTATCCTTTATACTCGTTAGAGTACTGGGTGTGAGTTCTGTGTGATGGTATTCATAGGCAGCGAACAGCTGGAGAGGGCAGGAGGAATCTTCTATCCCATAAGCTCTTCTAATGGATAGAACCAAACAATCACTAAGGTGCTATTTATCTGGACACAGGCCCGAGCACTTATGAAAAGCTCCCAAGCCACACTGACCCCTGAGCGTGACCATCTCCTACACACATATTTATCCTGAGAGGCAACTATATACAGAACATGGGGTAAGTTCCCTGGATGCAACTCAATAGAAATGAGTTGCAGCTCAACAGAATCCTACTTTTAACTCTGTGTTGCATATGATTCACATGAAGCATCTCCAGAACTGTGCTCGCATACCTGTCAGCTCAGATCAGGATTTCCTAGGATTTCCACTTGTTTTGGGCAAGTGGAAACAGGAGAACTGTCCCTGTATCTTCTTCAATAATGTTCACTCCTGCTTGATGGTAGTGTGTGTGTGTGTGTGTGTGTGTGTGTGTGTACACACATCAGTATGTTTACAAACTAGAATCATGAAATCCTTTCAGCTCTGGAAAATGATACCGATAAAGGGAATTAAATACCAGGATGCCTCCTCTGAGGTGAAGGTACTTAACCAAAAGTACGCTGTTATTTCTGTGGACTTGTGCTTTGTAGTTCTGCTAAAACTTTTTTTTTTTTGCTGCCATTAGGCTCTAACTGTGAACTTCCAAAACATTTCTTAGAACTTTTCCTTTGAATTCAGACCATAAGATAAAAGGTGTGTGTGTGTGTGTGTGTGTGTGTGTTTGTAAAGGCATAACTCTGGTAAGAAGGCAGATTTGATATTTTCCTTCTCTTCCTCTAGCTGCTCCCTCCTCCAGACCCCCTTCCCATTCAAAGCTTCCTTCTTGCTGGCATGGCTCTCAGAAAACGCTCTTTAGGAGCTGCTGGTTCAACCCCAGGAGTGGGCTCTTTGAGGACATTCCATGCGGCACTGTCCACTGCCTGGACCGAGGAGCAGGGCAACAGCTCCACCTTACTCATAATACAGGAGTGTGATGTTTCTCACACTGCACTTCTTTCTGGCAGGGAAGAAGAGAAAAACCCTAAGAGGTTCAACTAATTCCCAATATAAAATGATGTTTACAAACAGAATCTTGCCTTGGCAGAGCAAAAAGCCACCTTTGGTTGGAACGTGTCCTGCAGACAACTGCATTACCAGTGCTGCTCCGGCACCGACGGGGTGGGGTCTGTGGCACGCGACAGCAGACCGTGAACTGTGCCTGAAGTAGAAAACCTTGGAGAAACGTCAGTGGTCCTGGTGTGAAAAAGATCTGATCTTCCCTCCCACTGAGAGTCTGTGCTTTTCTATTTACAATGGCCCGAAATGGCAGGATTGCTGTGGTGAGCTAGTAAAGCCCTTGGTAAGAGTGTCTGTTTCTGGAATACATTGGCCTTTGCTTCTTTTTTTTTTTTTTTTTTTTTTTTGTAAGTGGCACATACTTAAAAAAAAACAGTTAATAACAAAAATCACTTTAGAAGACTGTTGCAGGTAATGTGGTATAAACTCATTGTTAACAAGAACAGTGTCACTCTGTTGGAGGACCAGGTCCTAGAGGCTGTTGGCACTGCTCCGTCACTGTGTGATTTTCCTCTTGATGACAGTGAGCTCTTTCTGAAGTTCACTGAACTTGGGGCGGTTTTCAGGTTTATAATCCCAGCACTTCGTCATAATTTTGAAAATGTCCTCTGGGCAATGCTGAGGGGCTGACATTCGGTACCCTGAAGACCCAAGAGGAACAGAACAGGGAGTTTAGAATGGAGATAAGATATAAATGTTCACACAGGGCATCATGCAGTTTGTAATCTTTGGTACCTTATGTTGTAGGTGTAATAGAAACCCAAAAAGCCCATTTCAGGGCAAACTGACTTCTGTTTTTCTACAAGTGATACAGAATTCAGTATTACAGACCCACTGAATTACCTTCTAGCTTGAATAACTTATTTTTCATTTGCTCATTTGTCACAGAGTTCGAGGTAAGATAAATCACATACAAATGCCTATTTTAGTTGCTCTAAGTATTTGCTTTTAGAATTAGCTTTTAGATGCTGTGGGCAGAGGTTTTTTTTTTTTTTTTTTTTTTATCATCTATACAACCCAGGTTTTTGAAGACAAAGAGAGGATAAGGATTTTATAGACACTAATTTAAAAGTGAAATGAAAATGAATAGGAATTTTACTCCTTGATAGCCCAAGAAGAATCGTTAACTCAGAGCTGTCTGATGGTGTGCTGGGGCAGCGCGGCCGGGCCTGTGTGTGTTTGCGCAGGAAGTGAGATGGAGCTGAGGGGGAAGAAGGGGCTGCAAGTCCTCCTCCTGCACCCAGTTCTACAGCCAGCCTCCCCGAGAGGGGCCTCCCACGAGGGCATTACTGTGTCAAAAGCAAGCTCTGTGGTGAGCGCTGCAGACTACACCAGTGCATGCCAGTGGGCCACCAGCACCGACTGGCTCCTGTTTCTGATCTGGGAACAGCACGTGGTCTCTTCAGAAATGTCACACAATTTTCCAAAAACTTCTCTCTGAAGTCCAACTACATTTCAATTTATAATACTATTAGTGGTGTTCATTTGGCATAGAACAAAAAATAGGAGGTTGAGGAACGCTACTGCCTTTTGCTTGAAGATAGTGCATGGCACAACCTTGCAGATGTCATGCCAGGCAGGGGGGACAGAAGGAAAGCCTATAGCTCTCTCTTTTTTTTTTTTTTTTAAAGATTTTATTTATTTGAGAGAGAGAGAATGAGAGATAGAGAGCATGAGAGGGAAGAGGGTCAGAGGGAGAAGCAGACTCCCTGCTGAGCAGGAAGCCCGATGTGGGACTCGATCCCGGCACTCCAGGATCATGACCTGAGCCGAAGGCAGTTGCTTAACCAACTGAGCCACCCAGGCGCCCCTATAGCTCTCTTTTTAAACTGCTGGAATCTTTAAAAGTTTCTTTTGCTGTTGTTGGTTTTTGTTACGGAAGAGCCACACCATCCATGGGATGCAAAAGCAGATTGATCAACACCTCTGCTGTCTGTCTGCATACCCAAGTAGGATGTCCCCTCCTGCTGCCAGGAAATCCACAGACACAGCATGAGCGCTGCCCCTGGGGGCTGGATGTGAACACTGCTACACCCTGTCTTTGGCTTACCTCTTTCCACTTGCTCCCGGGCTTGTTGATTTGTCATTCCAGGGTATGGGCAGACCCCTAAGCTGAATGTCTCCCAGAGGAGGATGCCAAAGCTCCACACGTCACTCTCAGAACTGTATCTCCCTGGAGGGCCAACAAAACCATAATCAGGTAAGTGTGTAATAGGGGACCATTTCTGTTATGCATGCCTCTGTCAGTCACAGAATAGCTTATTTAAACTTACCGGTGGAATGCAATAATTAGTGATCTTATTTCTTCACTAGTTTTACTTTCCAGGACTAGTAAATATTACCAGCTAGATGAATAGTCATCAGGCTGCTGGTTTAACAAAATCAGCTTTCAAATCACTTTTCCCTCACCAAAAACAAATATTCAGCCAACATGCAAGTTTACTTTCCCTGTGGTATCTAAATGAGATGGATGGTTTATATAAAAAAAGATATAAATTTGTACACATCAATGCCTAGATTAAAAAAGTTGGATTTCTGTAATTTTGTCTTCTGTCTGCAACATCTTCTTTCCATTAAAATTACAAACTTAAAGCAATAATGAAAGTTTCTTAACTTCAATTTTTTACTTGTCACTGTTTACAGATATTCCTACATGCTTAAAGGTCTCATTTTCTCCACTGTTTCATTTATGGAAAATACATTTTTTTTTCTCTGTATTTTGAATAGAGTAGAATTAACATACCTGGCTGATAAGAACAACTTCTTCAAATTACATGGTGCCTTGTTTTGTCAAACTATCTCGGTGCACCTGTTTTACTGAGCTACATGAGCTAAGCTCTTTGGATTTTTTTGGTAGTCTTCTAGAGAAGAGCAGAGATAAAAGCACAAGATACCTTGTGGAGATGGATATGAAATTAAGGGGGGAAACAGAAAAATTCTTTCCATCCTCTAAGATGCTAAGAATTTAAAGATTTTCATAACATATTTTAATTTTATGTATAGAGCATATACTATCATAACTAAACCCCATTTGTAGTGGAATAAAAGGATTCTTAAATGATTTCATCTCTTTCCCCATTGTAAGCTACCCACCTCAACTCTGCCACTCCAGGATTATAAACACCTCTTGGCTAAAAACATCTTGTTACTTTAAAGTAAGATGGCTTTTTCTCTTTCTTGAACAAAGTAAAATGAGAATGAGAGTATGCCTGCACTTTGATAACTGCTGTGACGTCAGAGTCTACAGTGTAGCTGCTGATTATCCCCTCCAGCTGTGTGAATCAGCTTCCTTCTTACTAGACAGTAATTATGGAAATTCACTATGCTGTTTGGTAGCAAGATTAGTTTTCTTCTCTGCATATCAACTCTTTTCATGTTTGCCATCCAGTAATTTAATACTTTGCATGGAAGTCATTCAATGACTACAAGTTAAGATTAATTCTTGAAGGAAGTCAAAGGCATAGAGACAAATACTTTGATTTTGTAAGAGGATATCAGGGTAGAGATCAAGAAAGGCATGTTGCATACCAAGATCACATTCCAAAAGTGAAAGTTAATAACCTAATTCTATAACCTTGGCCTTGAACCTGGTTTTGCTGGATAATTTAAATTTTTTTAAAAATATTTTTAATTTATTTATCTACTTACTTTAATGAAGTATAATTGATACATATTATATCAGTTTCAGGTGTACAGCATAACAATTCAATATTTGTATGTATTGCAAAATGATCAATACAGTAAGTCTAATTGACATCCATCACCATACTTAGAAAATTTTTTTCTTGTGATGAAAACTTTAAAGATTTACCATCTTAGCCACTTTCAAATGTGCAATACAGTAGTATTAATTACAGTCACCATGTTGTGTTTTATATACCCATGACTGATTTATTTCACAACTGGCAATTTGTACCTTTTGACCCCCTTCATCCGTTTTACCCATCCCCTCCTCTGGCAACCACCAATCTGTTCCCTCTATCTACGACCTTGGTTTTCTTTCTATTCTTTTTTCTTTCTTTCTTTCTTTCCTTTTTTTTGATTTCACATGAAAGTGAAATCATATGGTATTTGTCTTTCTCTGACTTATTTCCCATAGTATAATGAGCTCAAGGTCCATCCGTGTTGTCACAAATGGCAAGATACTATTTTTTATGGCTGAATAATATTCCATTGCACACCACATCTTCTTTATCCTTTTATGTGTCAGTGGGCACTTTGTTTACATGTCCTAGCTACTGTAAATAATGCTGCAATGAACACGGGGGTGCATATATCTCTTCGAGTTAGTGTTTTCCTTTCCTTCAAATAAATACCTAGAAGTGGAAATACTGTATCATATGGTAGTTCTATTTTTAATTTTTTCAGGAATCATCATACAGTTTTCCATAGTGGCTGCACTATAAATATTTCCACCAGCAGTGCACAAAGGTTCCCTTTTTTCACATGTTATTTGTTATCTTTTTGATTATAGTCATTGTAACAGGTGTAAAGCAATCTCACTGTAGTTTTGTTTATACACTGATATTACAGTGCCATTGACTACATTCCCTATGCTGTACCTTTCTTTTTTTTTTTTTTTTTAAAGATTTTTATTTATTCATGAGAGACGGGGGGTGGGCGGGCAGAGGGAGAAGCAGGCTCCCAAGGAGCAGGGAGCCCGATGCGGGACTTGATCCCAGGACGCTGGGATCATGACCTGAGCCGAAGGCAGACGCTTAACCATCTGAGCCACCCAGGCGCCCTATGCTGTACCTTTCATCTCTGTGACTTATTCATTCTGTAACTGGAAGCCTGTACCTCCTACTACCTTTCATCCATTTTGCCTATCCCCCCAAACATCTCCCCTGTAAATCATCAGTTTGTTCTGTGTTTATGGGTATTTTCCTGCTTTTGTTTTGTTTTTTTTAGATTAAATATGTAAGTGAAATCATATGGTATTTGTCTTTGACTTATTTCACTCTAGATCCATCTGTGTTGTCACAAATGACAAAATTTCATCCTTTTTTATAGTCGAGTAATATTCTATTGTATACGTATACACCATATCTTCTTTATCCGCTCATCTCTCAGTGGACACTTAGGTTGCTTCCATGTGTAGGCCATTGTAAATAATGCTGCAAGAAACAAAGGAGTGCATATATCTTTTTGAATGAGTGTTTTCATTTTCTTCTGATAAAATAGTGAGATTACAGGATCATATGATATTTTTATTTTTAATTTCTTGAGGAACCTCTAAATTGTTTACTACAGTGGCCATACTAATTTACATTCCTACCAACAATGCAAAGGGCTCCTTTTTCTCCACATTACCAATACTTATTTATTTTTGATTCTAGCCATTCTTACAGGTATAAGGTGATACTTCATTGTGGTTTTGATTTGCATTTCCTTGATGATTAGTGATATTAAGCATCTTTTCATGTGTCTGTTGGCCATCCGTATGTCTTCTTTGGAAAAAAAATGTTCAGATCCTCTGCCCATTATTTAATATTATTTGTGGGGGTTTTTTGGTGTTGAGTTTGCAAGTTCTTTATATACTATGATATTAACCCCTTATCAGATATCTCATTTGCAAATATCTTCTCCCATTCAGTAGGCTACCTTTTTGTTTTGTTGATGGTTTCCTTTGCTGTACAGA